TCATCAGCAGCAGCATCGTTATCATCATCCTCATCAGCATCAGCATCATCATCATCATCATCATCATCATCATCATCATCATCATCATCATCATCATCATCATCATCATCATCATCATCATCATCATCATCATCATCATCATCATCACGAGACGCATGAGCATCATCATCACCATCAGCAGCCGCATCATCATCATCATCATCATCATCATCATCATCAATCCTTATCATCCCCATGTTCGCCCTCCTCCTCCTCCTCCTCCCCATTGCCTCCTCCTCCTCCTCCTCCTCCTCCTCACTCCTCCTCGTCCTCCTCCTCCTCCTGATCCTCCTCCTCCTCCTCCCCCTCCTCCTCCTCTTCCATCATCCCTCCTCCGCCTCCCCCTCCGCCTCATCCCCGTCATCATCAGCATCAGCAGCGTCATCATCATCGTCATCAGCATCGTCATCATCATCATCATGAGCATCATCAGCATCACCAGCAGCAACATCATCAACATCATCAGCATCGGAATGTATCATCACCATCAGCAGCATCGTCACCATCGTCATCATCAGCAGCATCACCATCACCATCAGCATCAGCAGCATAACCATCACCACCATCAGCATCATCAGCAGCATCCTCATCAGTATCATCATCAACAGCATCATCATCATCAACATCATCAACACCATCATCCGCATCATCATCAGCATCATCATCATCAGCAGCATCCTCATCATACACACCAACAGCATCATCACTATCAGCAGCATCAGCAGCCTCATCATACGATTCAGCATCGTCACCATCATCACCATCAACATCATCATCATCAGTCCTCCTCCTCCTCCCTTCTCCCCCTCCTGCTCCTCCGCCTCCTCATCATCATCACTCCTCGTCCTCCTCCTCCTCCTCCTCCTCCTCCTCTTCCTCCTCCTCCTCCTCCTCCTCCTCCTCCTCACTCCTCCTCGTCTGCCTCCTCTTCCTCCTCCTCCTCATCCTCCTCCTCATCCGTCATCCCTCCTCCTCCTTCTCCCTCCTCCTCGCTTCTCCTCCTCGCTTCTCCTCCTCCACCTCCCCTCCTCCTCCTCCTCCTCCTCCTCACTCCTCCTCTTCCTCCTCCTCCTTTTCCTCCGCCGCCTCCTCATCCTCATTCCCTCTCCCTCCTCCTCCCTCACTCCACCTCCTCCACCTCCCTCCTCCTCCTCCTCCTCCTCCTCCTCCTCCTCCTCCTCCTCCTCCTCCTCCTCCTCTCCTCCTCCTCCTCCTCCTCCTCACTCTCCACCCCCTCCTCCTTCTCCCCCTCCGCCCCCTCCTCCTCCTCCTCCTCTCTCCTCCTCCTCCGCCTCCTCCTCCCCCTCCTTCCTCCGTAATCCCTCCTCCTCCTTTTTCTCCTCCTCCCCTCCACCTTTTCTCTTGTTGCTGTTGTTGCTGCTTCTCCTCCTCCTCCTCCTCCTCCTCCCCCTCCTCGTCCGCCTCCGTCTCCTCCCTCCGTCCTCCTGCCTTTCTTGCCTTCTCCTTCTCCTCCTCCTCCTCCTCCTCCTCATCAGCATCATCATCATCAGCATCGTCCTCCTCCGCCTGCCTTGTCCTGCTTCGCCTTCCCCCGTGCTCCCGCCCATTCCTCCCTCATCCCGCCTGGTCCCTTCTCTTCCTCCTCCTCTTTCCCTGAAGCATCGGTTCGAGGCGTCTCAGTAAGCATCTTGGTGGTTTGGCGACGGCGCTGTGAATCGATCCTTTCGCCTCCACGTGGCACTTGAGGGGCATCAGGGCTTGCACTCGGCGGAAGCGCACTGTCGGGTATCTTGTCATGTTGGCGAAGAAGCACAACGCCTTGGGCAGACATCAATCAGCTGCCACCGCATGATGTGTTTTGAATGTGGTTGTTGGTGCAGTTCCATCCTTGTCGTGGTGCCTTCAAGTGCAATTAAAGCTTGGGTTAAGCATTGCTGGTGGTGGGGATTGCACGATACTATGCGGTGATTGAGTGGACAATCCTCAGACATGTACTCAATCCAATGGTGTTGATTTGATTTCAAGTCGGTGGGGACAATGGGGGGCCTGGTAGTGCACTTACCCACCCGCCCACCGCCTGGGCGCATCAATATCGTGTCGGTGGACACCCTCACTGTTTGTTTGTGTGGTTGTGCGGAGGTATCAACCGCATATCTCAAACATCTGGTGAAGTCCGCTGTATCTCGTGCTGCCAAAGAACCGACCGCTTACCTACACAATTACGCACATGGCGAATGCCCTTCCATCCACCCCGTAACTACGAGGACCCCGTTGTCTTCTCCTCCCCCGCGTGGCCGGAGAAGCTCAGGGGTGGCGAAAGGAATAATACCCAAATCGCTACGCAATCAAGCAGAGTCTCGGTGTCTCGGCTTCTCGGCCGGAGGTCTGCCACGAGCAAGCTCACAGCAGGCCGAAAGGGCGTGGGAGCTAAGGGGCCTCCTCCCTCCCTGCTCCTGGCGTCTCGGAAGCGCCCGGCGCCTGCCAGAATATCCTTGTTGTGCTACTGCAGTTGTCTTTGAATCAGATGTTGTATTGTTCGGCCGTCCCCTGCCTCTCCCCTTACTATTGCCCTCCTCCTCCTCCTCCTCGCTTCTCCCTCTTCTCCTCCTCCTCCTCCTCCTCCTCCTCCTCCTCCTCATCGTCCTCCTCCTCCTCCTCCTCGGCCTCCTCCTCCTCCTCCTTCTCCTTCTCCTCCTCCTCCTCCTCCTCCTCCTCGTCTTCTCCTCCTCCTCCTCCTTCTCCTCCTCCTCCTCCTCCTCCTCCTCCCCCTGCTTCTCCTCCTCCTCCTCCTCCTCTTCTTCCTCCTCTTCTTCCTCCTCCTCCTCCTCCTCCTCCTCCTCCTCCTCCTTCCCACTGCACGGGGCCAGGAGCTCGCAAAGCTGACGCCTCGGCTTGCCTGGCCAGGACGCCGCTCCCCGGGAGGAGCAGGGAGGGCGGAGCCAAGGCTCGCGACCCCGACCCTCGTCCAGGCCTTGCCGGGTTTGGTCCCAGGGAGCCCAGGGCGTGGGACCCCAGGGCCACAGGAGGAGCGCTCCAAGGCCGCGCTAACGGCGTGCTTGGTTAACGGTGCGGTTGGGAATATGTTTGTTGTTCTGGCACCGAGCTCACACAACAGAAACTAGGAAATCAAGAAACACTGTTTCCTACATTTCAAATCTGCGAATGTTTCGAACGAGAACGGAACAGCGAGTTGTGGGAAAACACAAGCCACGCGTTCTTACAAGTGGTTTGGCCACAAACCACGCTTTCCTACAATTGGTTTTTCCTACATCGCCATTACCTAACACACCGTTAGCGCGTCTACAGGCGCTGTCAGAAGAAGCGCCGGATCAGACGCTGACTAAACCAGCCGCTACAGTGCACCTGTCAGGCAGTAGCGGCGCAGCGACGTGCCCGAAGGCGGCGTTGCCGACGGCGGAGAGCGGCGCGTGTTGCGTTGAGTATGGCTGGGGGGTCAGGTCTGCAGACCATCCCAAACGGACGCACAGGGGCGCAACCAATCTGTTCGGTCAGGCTGAAGTTGATGCACCACACCCAGCGTCAAGCCAAAACTATGGAAATATGGCGAAGCGAATAGCTACAGCTTGCCCATCTTAGTAGGCTTAACCAGCGAGGACTTTGACCACCTTGACGTTCGGAGGAGGAGGAGGAGGAGGGGGGGGAGGAGGTGGGAGGAGGAAGGAGGGAGGTGGGAGGTGGGAGGAGGGAGGAGGAAGGAGGGAGAAGGGAGGAGGGAGGAGGGAGGAGACGGCCAGGAGGAGGGAGGCGGAGGGAGGAGAGAGGGAGAGAGGGAGGGAGGGAGGTGGGAGGGAGGAGGAAGGAGGGGGGAGGGAGGAGGGAGGAGGGAGGACTTCTTGCTTGGTCCTTTGTGTGAGCTAGGGGACGTGTCCTCGATGCTGAACCGGGCGTCTCAGGGCGACCCGAGTAGCCCCCCCTGGCTGCAACAGCGGTCAAGGGGGGGGGCGACCGGGTGATTTGGCTTTTGGTACCAACCTCGTCTTCACCATCATCTCCGACGACCGAAACAGCGAACGCGTCTCAATCGCTGCTTACGATGGTGCGAGGGGGCGCAACCCCCGTTGCAGTCTGCATGGCCGGTCGCGCATTGGTGTGGGGCTGCTGTCAAGCAAGGATGCCGCCACACAGCCCACACGGGAGGTTAACAAATTTCCCCCCCCCCCCCCATGTTTGGGGTCCAGCGTGTCTCTGGCGACCGCGTCTCAGTCGGTGATTACAATGGCGCGAGGGGGCGCAACCCCCGCTGCAGTGTGCAGGGCCGGTCGCGCATTGGTGAGGGGCTGTTGTAAAACAAGGATGCCGCCGCACAACCTACGCGGGGGGTTAACAAATTGCCCCCCCCCCCCCCCCTGTTCAAATTGCGGGGGCGATGGCGTACAGCAGGCAACCGGCAAAACAAGGGTGCCGCCACACACGTTGCTCCGAGCAGCGTGCTTCCGGCCCCCCTACCCTTTGCCTTCTAAGACGCCTTTGGTGGGTTTTTTATTTGTCCTCTTTGCCGTGGCTCGCGGCCTTTGCATTCTAAGATGACCTTCGTGAAGCCTCCCCCTTCCTTTCTTCCGCAACCTGCTCCTCTCGTCCTCCCTCCTGAGGCTCCTTGACTCTTTGGTTTTCTGCCCAAGCGCATGTATTCAGGAAATGTGTCTCTTCTGCAGGAAATCTTGAAACTTCGGTTTTGTCGTTCTGCTCGGCGTTTTACGTGCGATCGTGCGCGAGAACACTTCAACCGCACAGTCAGGCCGTCAGCACAGGGGCCTGGAGGAAACACTGGATAGTCAGGGTCCTAAGAGACGCCCCGGTCGGGACTATCCACACAGAGTGTGGTTCCACGAGGGCCCATTCTTCTGGTGCGGAGGGCGCTGCCGAGGCGCCTGGACCAGGGGCGCCGCCCCACAGGTCATGGGGGTGGCTTGTTAGAGTAGTTCCTGATTGGACCTCCGTCGGGGCATCCGCACCGAGTGCGGCTACACGAGGGCCCCAATTTTGCTTCGGAGCTGCGCCGCCGAGGCGCTTGGCCAGCTCGGCCTATCCCCATCAACCTTCCCCTCCTGGCACAAAGGGGGGGAGGAAGGGGAGGGGGATGGGACACGGGCTGCCCCACAGGTCGGGAGGTCGTTAGGGTTGTTTCCCCTCTGGCCCTACGAGACCCCCGCAGTCGGGACACGACCGCCTAAACCCGGAACAGAGGCATTTTCCCCTCCCTGCCCGTGGACTCGGGCCAGACAAAAGGCTACGCCGCGGGCTTACCCCCTCCCCAGCCTCTGGCTCCGGGCTTCTGCCCTCCACTAGACTTTAAGATTTTGGCAACAGCTGCCAAAGCCTGAAAGATGGGCTTAGGTACCCTATAAACCTATAGCGAGCTTGGCAATCCTCCTCCTCCTCCTGCTCCTCCTCCTGCTCCTCCTCCTCCCCCTCCCTCCCTCCCTCCCTCCCTCCCTCCCTCCTCCTCCCTCACTCACCCCCCCTCCCTCCTAAAACCATGGGGAGGTGAGGGGAGAACGATCGGGGGGGGGGACCGGCTCGGAAGGGCCGGGTGGAGTACTCCAGATTTCGTAATAAAGGGAGGGGGGGTCTCATTTCGGGGGGGGGTCTCTTCCAAGCCATCTTGGAGGGCCTGGGGGGGTCTGGGGACGATGTTTGGGAGGGTTCTCCCACGGGGGAGGTCTGAAATGGCTTGTCTTGGAGGGTCCAGACCCCCTCCCTTTGATTACGAAATCTGGAGCAGTGTTGCTGCCTGGCGCGGGCGGTGCTGTCGGATGCCCGCGCGTGTGTCCTGCCTCCTCCTCCTCCTCCTCCTCCTCCTCCTCCTCCTCCTCCTCCTCCTCTTACTCCTCCTCCCCCTCCCTTTTATTGCGAAGTCTGGAGTAACGTCGATCTGACATCGGCGATAAACATCGCCGACAGATTGGCGCGATGGGCCCTCGACCGCGGAACCGCCTGTGTTTCTGGGCGGGGCGGGCTGTCAGGTCCCCATCGGCGATGAATGTGAAGGGGCCCTGGGACACACAATTAAATACACACAAATAAAATGATCCCCCATATTTTCCTATATTTGATGGGTTTTTGTCTTCCCGCCCACTTCCCACATTTTCCCATATTTTCTGGGAAATCGAGGATTCATTGTGTCTGTGTGCTTCTTTTCCTCCTGAGAATGGGCGAGTGGGGGTTGAAGCATTCGGCTGAGCACATTCCCCACACCGCTGCCCCTGAGGAGGCGCAGTGAGGGGAGTGGGAGGAAGGCCATCTTCTCGGGTCGGGCGAAAGGGGGGGATAGCAAAGGGGGGGTTTGAGAATCAGCTCACGTAGCTGATTTTCCCAGCGCCTCCCGGCGCCGGGAGGCGGCCATGTATCGAGGAATGGGCCCCTCGGTGAGGCCGAAACCAGCTGCATGTAGCAAATTTCGTAACCCCCCCTTTCCCAATCCCCCCCTTTCGCCCGGCCCGATCTTCATGCTCCTGCACGACAGGCCTGCTCCAATCGACTCCGTAGAGGTTCCTGTGCTGGCACAAGCTGTCCTGATGCCTGCTCCTCAGCCAGCGCTTGCACTGGGCGCTCCGACTTGCGTTAGGCCGGGCCTGTCCCCTTACGGGCGGATGTTGGACGAAAAATCTGGAAATTATCGAAACACTGCTCAGAAGTAGTCCGAAAATGGTCGAAGCATCGTGCCCAGACTATTTCTGAGGGAAACAAAAAATGGCATAAACATTAAAAACTCGGAGGTCCGTGCGGATTTCTCGGATCGGCGCTGGGGCCCCCCGGCGGCGCCTCGCGCTCCGCGCGCCAGGGAGGGGGGGTCCAGCGCCGATCCGAGAAATCCGCGCGGACCTCCGAGTTGTTATGTTTTTATGCCACTCGTTGTTCCCCAATTTCTTGACTGTCTTTGACTAAATCCTCCTGTGGAGGACCGTGCCTGGCGTTTCTCAAGTGCCTGGCCAGCGCCTCGGGGGCTGGCAGCCCGTGGCCGGTCCATCTCGCGGGCGCCCCCGCTCGCGGGGCCGGCGCTGCTGAGCGACACGGCGCCCCGTGGGCGCCTTTTTTTTCAGGGGCGGCCAAGAGGGAAGGGGCCCAAGGACACACAAATTCGCCGGCCCAACGGGCCAGAGGCGTGCTAAGATCTCCGGTAACTGGTTAACAATTGTATTGTACTAGTTCGCGCGCGCGGGGCGGCCCCTGGGGGTCCCCCGGCGAAAAGTACCCCGCCCGCCGCCTGGGAAGGTCCCGCCCGGTTCAACTCAGAGATGGTTTTCCTTCTGGGTGCGGCCTCTCAGGCCGCCCTGAGCGCGCCAAGAGTGCCCCAAGAGGCCCCCAAGACTGCCCAAGAGGCCCCCGAGACGCCCAAAGAGCGCTCGAAGACGCCGAAGATGACCCCAAGACGGCCCAAAAGGCCCCCAAGACAGCCCAAGAGGCCTCCAAGACGCCCCAAGAGCCTTCCAAGAGGCCTCCGAAGAGAGCCCCAAGAGGCCAAAATCGTTGATTTTCATTGGTTTTTTCGATGTTTTTTGTGTTCTGGCTTTTTCGGCTTCCGGACGCTCCAAGACGGCCCAAGAGGCCCCCAAGACCGCTCCAAGACGGCCCACGAAGCTCCCAAGACGGCCCCGGAACGGCCCAGGAGGGCCCCCAAGACGGCCCAAGTGCCGCCCAAGACGGACCAAGAGGCCCCAAGACGGGCCCAAGAGGGGCTCAAGAGGGGAACCGAGAACTGAAAAATCGAGCCCTCCGCCCCAGAAGGCGCCCAGGAGGCCCCAAAAAGGCCCCAAGAGGCCCCCAAGAGGCCCCCAAGACGCCCCAAGAGGCGCCCAAGAGGCCCAAAAGAGGCCCCAAGAGGCCCCAAAACGGCCCCCAAGAGGCCCCAAAACTCGGCTAGCCCACAACGGTGCGACAATATGGGCCGGCGGAATGAGCGAAGCGATTAATAAATGCACACAAAGAAACATGCCCCCCATATTTCCCCATATTTTGGGGGTTTTCGTCTTCCCCCCTTACACTGCCCATACTTTCCTATATTTTTCCAGGGAATCGACGATCCATTGTGTCTGAGTGTTTCTTCCCCCTCCTGAAAGAGGGGGGGCGTCCGAGAGGGGGGGGGGGGGGGCGCAAAATCACGGCCGGCGGCATGTGCGCGGCCCAGGGGGGGGGGGCGGGGGAGCAATGGAATGGGAAGCGGGGGCAGGAGATCTGGGGAGATCTCATGGCCCCGGCCATGATATCCCCCCCCCCCCTAGTCGTCACCCCCCTCCTGGCCGCCCCCGACTCTTGCACGCCTCGCGGGCGCCCGAGGCTGGCCGGGTTTGGCCCGGTCTGCGCCCGGTCGGCGCCGCGGGCGCCTCTGTCGTGGCCGCCCCATGCGCTGCAGCTGGGTGTTCTGGGTTCTCGTGGACGTCCGTGGCCGCATCGTGCGCAGGCTCGTGGTTCAGGATGGGCACGTGGGCTGCACCACATAGCTTGCACCCTGTGTCCAGTGCACCACCTGACACCGATGCGGGCCCCATAGGTCGCTGGACGCAGAATGCACAACAGATGTTGCGGCGCATGAGGGGCCGCAAGTAAATGGCACCACGCAACTTGCACAGCATTGCTTGCGCTGAATTGCTTGCACCTCGTGGATTGCACCGCTCATATTGCACAAAACAAAGTGCATGTCGAGAGTGCAAGAACTATACAATTCGGAGTCCTAGACGGCAAACACGGTCTACTCATCTGCCAATATGCATCGAATCCGTCCGTGAGTGCTGGATGCCAAAGACTGGGAACTTCAAATGGGGAGGCGAAGCGGTGGGATCCCACGTCATTGTCGCTCCGCGCTCCTCCCCATGCCAACATCCACTACCCTCTCCCTCCCGAGCCCTCCCTCACCCTACCTTGCCCCTCTATCCCCCCCCCCCCCCTCCCCTTCTTTCTCATCCTCCTCAGTGGGTCCTGAAGGGTGCTGCTCTCAAGGAGGCTCCTCCAGCTGTCGTCCCTATGGCGGGGCGTTGCCCCAACGATCACCTGCGGGCACCAGCGATGAGAAATGGACGTAGTCCGCCGAGCGTTTTGGGGCAAGCTCGTGCCAGGCACGAGAGGCCCAATCAGGAACCTGGACACAGAGAAACACAAACACATGCGCACACGATGTCGCGGGAGCAAGAAATATTGCCTCCGATATGTATATGTGTCAACACTGTCTCGTGTGTCGGCACGGCGCCAGTCCGGTCCACCACACACACACACACACTGTCATCACGAACAGTTGGGGCAGACCCATAAAACCAAGACAATACACACATAACATAACGTCACACGCATGCACGCTGCTTCCTCAGCCGCCGTGTTGGTGCAGTCACTTGTGTATACCGCCTGGGCCACATATAACGGATTAACACACTATCTACGAAGGGAGGTGCCCCTCTCGCACTCTAGCGCGCACGCACACTTTCTGGCGTGGACTGTAGAACGCAGGCAGCGGGCCGCGCGCGTCTACCACACGCACTCACACAGACTCACACGCACACACACACACACTCTCACACACACGCACACACACTCACACACACACACACTCACAAACACGCACATACACACACACTCTCACATACACACTTGTTCAAGACAAAACGAGCGGGGGTAGATACGAATCGGCGAAGCGAGTTCGATTACCTGCCCCACTATATCCCCTGGAGGCAAGCGGAGGAAATATTGAATGACGACGACAGTGCAGAGAAATAATAGGGAGAGGGATAGAGATATATCAAGAAATTGGGGAATGAAGTGAGAGTGACTCCGCCTCGTTCCAGAACGAAGACATCGAGTAGGACCAATACAAGCCCCCCCAACCTCCCCATTCCCCTAGCCAGCCATATTTTCTCGCTCCCCGTCCCCAACTTCCTCAAACCCTCCACGTCCATGGCTGAGATCCCATCTGCACCGTAACGCGTTCACTTCGAATTGGCACAAGCGGGCCCGATGTTGAGCAAACGGGGGGGTCACTTGAGTCGCGTCCTTGCTGACGCATGGCGTGCTGGAGGGAAGGGGTGGACGGAGAGAGGGGGAGGAAGAGGAGGAGGAGCAGGAGGAGGAGGACAAGGAGGAGGAGGAGGAGGAGGAGGAGGAGGGAGGAAGGATGAGCTTGGGGTCGGGGTGGCGGGGGGGGGAGGGCGTGCAGGAGGGATGTTGACGGATCCAGAAGGGGGGGATGAGGGATGGTTTCGGTTGGGGGGAACGAGAGCGGGGGAGGGAGGGGACAAGGATAGTGCATTTTACGTGATGCAATTATTTGTTGTTCGCATTGAGTTGTCAACCCCACTGTTCGCGCAACCATCTCACCCACCCGCCCGCATTGTGGTTTGCAAAACCCACGCGGCTGCGATTGCGATGAGTGCTTGGCGTTGTCTGGTGTATCTCTGCGCCCGCGCTGACCTAGCCCGCGCACGCTCGCGCGCAATGCGGCCAGCTAGTTTGGCGCGACCGACGCGGCCGCGGTGGCGCTGACCGCTGGGCACTTCCCAGCGGGCACTTCAGTGCGAGTCGCAGACTTGGGCGGGCGCGGTATCATCGCAACGTCGGCAACGGTAGACACGATTCTGGTAGCAGCGATGCTGGTGACGATGATGACATCGACGGCGGCAAGGCCAGTGACGGCGCCGATGCTGATCTCGCCGACAACGATGACGACGTCCTCGCGTCGGTGATGAAGGTGTTGGAAGGAGTTCGACATGCGCGCGCGGCCGACGCGCGAGAGTGGCCCGCATTGTATCATTTAACGCGGATCGTGCCCTCCCCCCCAGCACGCGCACAAAGGCGCTCGAATAATTTCGACATGCGGCACGACAGGCCCGCGCGACCGAGTTCAAGGGACATGTTGACTTCGCAGGAGTGCGGGCGCATGCATTTTCGAACACGGATGTTACAGAGCCATGTGTTTGTAGGTGCTCTTCTCGGGACGATCGGATTTGAAATGCCTACGAAACCTAAGGTTCGAAAGAATATCCGCATGCGCACGCGACGACGCGCGCGTGTGCACTTCGTCCCACTTCTAAGAAGGATTCTTGCGACAACACGCGCGCAAGGGCGCTGAAGCGATTTCGACTTGCGCGCGCGAGAGGCACGCTTGGTAGCATTGGATGAACATGTGGAAACACCGGAGAAGTTGTTGGAATAATCTGCAAGACGCGAGCGCAAGCTTTTGTTGCGAAACCATATGTTTCTATGTTCCCCAATCAGAGCTTGCCTCTGTAGGGGTCCTAGCGGATTCATATTGTTAAATTAGGTTTGCCGCCGATGTTCGCCGCACGCCTGGGTGCCCGGGCGTGCCCGGGGGTGCCCGGGTGCCCTATAGCCCTATAGCCCAATTGCCCAATAGCCCTGTAGCCCTATAGCCCTACAGCTCTATAGCCCTGTAGCCCTATAGCCCTATAGCTCAATAGCCCTATAGCCGCATAGCCCTGTAGCCCCATGATTTGGGATTTTCTCTGGTATCATTTTCACTATGCTCGACTTTGGAACCTTACGGAGCCAACGGTTTTTTTGGTTAAGATTTCGGCATGCGCGCGCAACGACGCGCGCGAGGGTACTTCATCACAACTGTTGCGAAGGATTCTTGGGAAACGAATGTGCGCGCAGATTGCTTTCTGCAGAAGATGAGGGGGGCCTTACCGGCCTGTCTGAGATGATACGGATTCGAATTTAGGATGGGCTCATGGGGCAGAATCGAATGCAACCTGCAATACGCAAAGGGGGACCGTTAAATTTCGGGGGCGGGGGTGAATCCGACTACTCTTTTGAAAAAACAAAAGAATAAAACTGTTGTGCGCATCACCCCGCAATTGCAGATACGAGCGGGGGGCGGGTGCGGGCGGGTCGCCAAGGGGTCGCGGGCTGGGTCGCAAGGTGGGTCGGAGGTGGGTCGCGGGTGGGTCGCGGGTGGGTCGCGGGTGGTTGCGGGTGGGTCGCGGGTGAATCGCGAGTTGGTCGCGGGTGGGTCGCCGGTGGGTCGCGGGTGGGTCGCGGGTGGGTCGCGGGTGACTCGTGGGGGGTTGCGGGCGGGTCGCGGGTGGGTCGCGGGCCGGGTCGCGAGTAGGACGGCGACAACAACAAACACCAGCAACAATAACAAGAACAATAAGTTGTGAGTCGACCCCTCCCTGAAAAACCAGACCCCCCTCCAAATGCGACCTCATACTTCGGACCTCCCTCTTCGACGGGGCGCCCTAATAAACCGGAACCCCTAAGCTCCAATACACCGAAAGTGCCCTAATAAACCAGACCCCCCAGTTACAAAAGGGCGCCTTAAAAAACCGTTCAGGGATTTTGAGCGCCCGGCCTCCCAGAGCGGACTCTGGCCAGGGCGTTGAGGCGGTTCCAGCCGTGGCGAAAAGAGGATTAGAGGATCGCCATGGGGGAAGCGGGTCCTGAGGGGCACGGGTCCTGAGGTTGTTCGCCGTTTTCCGGCTTTCGGGGCCCTCCACGGTCCCTGGGAACGTGAGAAATCGATTCAGGATGAGGAAGTGGTCTTGGGGGAAGGCCCTATAGTGTCCAGGACGCGTTTCCCCCAAGACCCGCTTCCCCCATGTTAAAAAGCGGTCATGATAATGATACGATCCGCGATTTCCAGAACAATCAGAATCCTCTGATGTGCCACACGGGCTGCAAAAGCCAGGGCCGCTAGATGTTCTGGAAATTCTGGAACGCATCCTGAGCCAATATTATCTTGAGATCAAGTCCGCCGCAGACAAGGACAGCGGGAGCGGTACCTGCTCCCCATCAGACATCGCGGACTGACCGTACGTAGATTGGACGAACCGCAAGACGACGCGATTTTGTTCGGGGTGTGCCCCCCCCCCCCCGGGGATGTCGACCTCTTCCCAGGGATCCGTTTTCATCCACACGAGTTTTCTGACGGTCCCGGGGTCAGGAAACCATTTCCAGAGCCCGAGAACACGGGAAAACCCAGAAACATGCCCGGACCTGGCTTATCCGACGACCAGCAGCCCACCCGGCCGCGAGCGGGAAACACATCTACATTTACGACTTCGTGGGCAGGGCGCTTGGGCCCACGACCCGTGGGATCCCGGGCGTGCTGTCACGGTTGACCTCGCGCAAATGTGTGCTCATGAATCCGTGCAAGTCCACCACCAGATCGCCGCCCGGCATCCCGACAGCGAGGGCGTGGATATGGACATGACCGCGGCCGCACGAGACACCCCCGGGCCACCTGGGGCGGCCACCTAGAAGACAAGGAGGAGGAGAAGGATGATGTTGCTGATGATGACGACGACGATGATGATGATGCTGATGATGCTGATGATACTGATGCGGATGCGGATGCTGATGCTGATGCTGATGCTGATGATGATGATGATGATGATGATGATGATGATGATGATGCTGATGCTGATGCTGATGATGTTGATGTTGATGAGGATCATCATCATCAGGAGGAGGAGGGTAGGAAGAGGAGGAAGCGGAGGAGCAGGGGAGGAGGAGAAGGAAAACGAGGAGGAATAGTCAGAGGAGAAGGAGGAGAATGAGGAGGAGGAGGAGGAGTAGAAGGAGATGGAGGAGGAGGAGGAGGACAGGGAGGACGAGGAGGAGGGGGAGGAGAAGGCCTCGTCCCCCATCCATGCTCGTCTGTCCTCCTTCTCCTCCTCCTCCCCCTCCTCCTCCTCCTCCTCCTACTATTTATTCCTTCTCCTCTTCCTCCTCCTCCTTTTCCTTCTCCGTTTCCTCCTCCCCCTCCTCCTCCTCCTCCTCCTCCTTCTCCTCTTCCTCCCCCTCCTCCGCCACCCCCTCCCCCTCCTCTTCCTCCCCCTGCCGATCCTAGACGTCCGCCGAACGTGGACGCTCGCTCCTCCTGCGGCTGGGCCGCGCTCCGCCGAGATGGAACGTCGCACCCTCCTGGCCACGTTCGCTCGTCCCGCCTCCTGCCTCCGCCTGCTCCTCCTCATTCGGGGCTTCAAGACTGTGTTGCGACGGGCCGCATGGCCCCAGCGACCTCACCGCGCGGTCCGTCG